CAGCAACAGCGGCAGCAGCAATGTCAAATTCTCTTCTGGGTTGTGTGGACATCCACTGGCATGGATACAACTCCAGGAACATGAACCGCCAAGGCCCGTTTATCTTGATCCGAGCATGACTTTGGCTGGCAGCTCTTCTGGAGAATCCAATCTCATGGCTACAGTTCCTAGGCTTACATTAATGCTTGCCAAAGCTGTTGGCCCTTTTTAAAAGCTTCTTTATAGCAATTTTTAAAAATTAAGACAGGACTGGAGTCAGGTGCCTCCCTAACATGAACAAAGCCCAGGGTTCAATACCCAGTACTGGAGAAATATATATATATATTTTAAAACAAAACCTACCCCTTAAAATTTAAAATTCAGGGGGCTAGAGAGATGGTTTAGCAGTTAGGAGCACTGGCTGCTCTTCCAGAGGACCCAGGTTCAATTCCCAGCACCCACATGGCAGCTCACAACTGTCTATAACCCCAATTCTGGAGTATCTGACATCTTCTCACCAATGCACATAAAATAAAAAAAGTTTAAATAAATAAATAAATAAATAAGAAAAATTTTAAATTCAGAGATTTTTTTTAGTGTAGTCACTATAGGAAAGTTAGACTATTACCTAATTTATTAACATTCAGAACCTTAATATTTTGTTTTACAAATCTTTTCTCTGCATCACATGAATTTATATATTATTACTCAGAGGCAATTTAAATTAAAATTTGCCTGCTCAGAAATCAAAGAAATGTATACACAAATATTATATCCAGGAGTAAGGTCGGGCTGGAGAGATGGCTCAGAGGTTAAGAGCACCAACTCCTCTTCCAGAGGTCCTGAGTTCAATTCCCAGCACCCACGTGGTGGCTCACAACCATCTGTAATGAGATGGCACCCTCTTCTGTATACATAATAAATAAATAAATCTTAAAAAAAGAGTAAGGTCTACTTACTTTTTAATAAAAACATTTTGGAAATTATTTAAATATAAAATGTAGAGACATTAGGAAAGTTTATCTCCTTGTATCCCAATTATAGAGAGAACAAAGTTTATGTACTCTCAAATGAGATTATAAATCTCATTCAAATATGAACATATGGAGGATTTAACCGGTTGTGGTGGTATTGTGTTCCCCAAAATATTGTGCACCCTAATAACCTTATCTAGGGTCAGAGACAGAACAGCCACTAGATACAAAGGCTAGAAAATGGTGGCACACACACCTTTAATCCTAGCATTCCAGAGGTAGAGATCCATCCAGATCTCTGTGAGTTCAAGGCCACATTGGAAACAGCCAAGCATGGTGACTCATGCCTTTAATCCCAGAAAGCGAGCCTTAAACCCAGGGAGTGATGGCAAAAACAGAAAGATATATAAGGCATGAAGACCAGAAACTAGAAGCATTTGGCTGGTTAAGCTTTTAGGCTTTGAGCAGCACAGTTCAGCTGAGATCCATTTGGATGAGGACTCAGTGGTTTCCAGTCTGAGGAAACAGGATCAGCGGAGGAATTGGCAAGGTGAGGTAACTGTGGCTTGTTCTGCTTCTCTGATTTTCCAGCATTGAACCCAATAACTGAGCTCAGGTTTGATTTTATTAATAAGAACTTTTTAAGATTCCTGCTACAACCGGTTTTTACAAAAATATAGTGATTTTGCTTTCTTCATACCTCATGACTTTGCACACAAAACACAGCTTTGCCTCGGGTGTAAGAGATGATTTGTTCTGGAGCCCAGTATGAGTGACCATGGACAGGGAACCTGGAACACAGACCCAGGTTACCCAACACCACATTCCAACATGGAAACAGTTTCTGAATTTCTCATAGTAACAAAGTCATAAATCAAAGAATCTTTACAATCCGTTGGTGAGAGTATCAGATGGTTTCGGCAAAGCTGGGAAGTCTGCTCCAGGCCTCAGAAGCTGTGTAGATAGTGAGCCCAGAGGGTCTGCCTGTACCTCCCAAGTGCTGGTATGATATCCCTTCACCACCACACCTGGCTTCGTGTATTTTTGTATACCTAAAATCCAGATGTACTTTCATGCTAGAATGTCATGCATGTTAATGCAGTTTTGTCTATGGCCCTTCCTTCCAAATACCTTGTCCTCGATGCTCACAACTCATTTACTAAACTTCCACGGGAGATTTATGGTCACTTTATCTGACTTGTAGTAGTTAAATGAACTGAAACGCTGTTAGGATTTTAAGTTAGATTAGATCAGAATTAAATTTGGAGACTGACCAATTTCCTTTTCAGGCTTCTATGTGCACCTGCCTGTAACCCCCCCTCCCTCTCCCCTGGAGGATTTCCTGTCTTAAAAGCAGCAAAGGAATTCTCTCTGGTCTCCCACTCCAAAATCAGCTGTGTACAGAAACAGAAAGCAACTGAATTGATACAGGATAAATTGGGGTTCCCTGTTGGGGTTCTTAGTCTCAGTAGTGAAAAAAACGAACTCAAACTGAAGCACACAGATGGTTTATTAGAGTTTACCCAGAAACCTCAGTGCAGGCAAGCTGTAAACCTGCCTGATGGGCAGGTTTGTTAAAGATACCTCAGTGGAGGAGAAGGCAAGCAGACACTGTGATCAGCCACCAGCTAGGGGAGGAGAGTTTTAGAAAAATAGGAAGCCCAAAGCCTTAGGGAGTCTAAAAACGTACTTTTATGCTTTTTTTATTTTACAAATAAAGTTTTATTGGAATAGAGTCACATCCATTTGTTTACTCAGTATCCATGGCTGTTTGTGTGCTATAAAGTCAGGGTTAGGCAGTTCTGACAGACCACATGGCCTGCCAAACCCAAGTATTTGCTTTCGGGCCTTTTATGGAGCACGCAGGCTGACACCTGGCCGAGTGACAGCATTTGTCTTACTGTTCACCTGCATCATTCTCAGAGGGACCCAAGGGTCACAGTCAGTGAGAATATGTGGATCGGAGCCCAGTTGGGGTGCACACCTGTAAGCTAGCAGCTGGAAGGTGGAAGCAGGAGGACTTGAGAGTTTGAGGCCAGCTCGGACTATATGTGAACTAGTCTAAAAAAAAAAAAAAAAAAAAAGACCTGTGGCTTCAGGCTTGTGTGACAGCCAGGAAGGTTTAAAGAAGGAAATACAAATGCAAACCACTAGACAGTATCTCTAGGCAAGAATTTCAATGAACTATTAGAGAGCAAGTCAAGAGCCAGGACAATACACACGATTATCACTTTATGGCATTCCTTGTGTTGGCAACAGTGCACCTGACAGGTTGCACCCACTGTGTCGGTATACAAGCCTCCTTCTCTGAAAAACGTCCCGGAGAGATGAAGGGAATACTCCAAAGGTAAGAGGGAGCGCCCAGGCCCTGCGTCCAGGAGGCACTCCCCAGGGCCCCCCGTGCCGGGACTCAGAACTTGAGGGGAATGACAGGCCAGTATTTTGGCTGCTTTTTATCACAGTACTTGTCAAAGCTCAGCTGCGCAGCAGCCTCCATGGCCAGGATCTTGGGGGCGCTGTCCCCATACAGACGCTGCATCTCGGCTCGGCGCCGCTCCCCGGGCTTCTCGGCCGGGGGCTCCGCGGAGCGGCGGTGGTTGTAGTACAGGCCGTGGTCGGCGTTCACATAGTCCTCCAGGCGCTCCGCGTCTAACTGCTGCTGTCGCCGCCGCTCCTCCCGGTGCCTCTCGGTCTCCGCAAAGTACTGGCGGAGCTCCTCGGTGATTTCCATGCTGCTCAGGTCGCACTCGACTTCGTTATCTGAATCCGACTCCATCTCTTCCTCCTCATGCGGGGCTTCATCGTCTCTGGGCGAGGCCTGGGTTCTACTGCTATCCCACAGAGGCTGCCCGGAGCTTTGGAGATGAGAAACACTGTAGGGAGGCGCCTGCCGGGCCATGTGCTGGCCTTGAAGGTTCCAAGGACGCTTAGCCTCATAAGCAAAAGAGTTCCAGGGAAGAACTCCAGGAGGAGAGAACCACGGGGACATGAAATAGGAATCCCTGGACTTTCTGTAGGCATTCTGGTGGCTTCGCATCCAAAACATGGCATGGTGATAATGTCGCCAGTATCTGGCATATACTGGGTGAGAATACCAAGATGCGGTAGCGCTCCATTTTGATGTCATCGCTGCTCTCTCTGCTTGCAAAAGTCCAAGTGGGCACTCGTGGGCATGCAGCTTGCAGATCTCAGGAGGTGGGCGACCACGGGCCCAGTTCTCCGTGGAGGGGGCCTTTTATGTTTTTAAAAACATGCCCTGGAAGAGTCCAAAAGAAAAAGACAGAACGGAAGGGAAGGAAATAAGACCTTTTGTGTCAAGGAAATAAGACCTTTTGAGTCAAGCCTCAAGCAGACAGACCAAGTCCAACCTCATGACTGCTGGTGAGAGGTCAGGAATTCTGGGGAGGAAAGTACATTCTCTTATTGAGGTAAACCTGCCTTTGTAGGGATGGGCCCTCAACCGGGTCCCGGATGGAGGAGGCAAGGGTACACCTCCTAGAGGAGATTCTCATAGAAAGCAGGCACTTGAGTCCAGCCTCCTAGAGGCTGAAGGTCCTGGCTGGCCAGAGGCAGCAACAGGGTCACCACTGATGAAGATCAAGAAATCCCCCCACTACAGATGAATGACCAAAAAATAAAAATAAAAAAGAAGTACAAAGAGTGAAAAACAGAAAGAATAACACACACACACACACACACACACACACACACACACACACACACAGAGTATGTACTCCCCCAAGGACATCAGTAGAACAGAAATTTGTAAAAAGAAATAAGACTTTATGTAAGATGAATTGCTAAACGGTCTTATTAATAAAAACCCCGAAGTCAGATATTGGGATTAAAACTGAGAGATCAGAGGAATAGAATGAGCCAACCTCACCTTACCAACTCTCAGCCTCCAGAGAAACCTACTTCCTGTATGCTCAAGCCTATATGCCTTTCTGTTCTACTATCTCACTTCCTCTCTCCGCCCAGCTACATCACTTCCTGTCTGTCTGTACAGACCTCCAGACCTCTATGGTTAGGGCTGGAATTAAAGGCATGTGCTACCATGCCTGGCTCTGTTCCCAGTGTGGCCTTGAACTCACAGAGATCTAGATGAATCTCTGCATCCCAAATGCTAAGATTAAAGGCGTGACTTCTATGTTTAATATAGTGGCTGGCTTTTTCCTCTGATCCTCAGATAAGCTTTATTGGGGGTACACAGATAAAATATCACCACATTTCCCCCTTTTTTGGTCTAATATATAAAAAAGTTATAATTAGTACAAAAAACTATATACAATAAGTACAATAACTATATACACAATATATACAGGCAATAAATACATCAACAATGTCTAGTCCATTTGCATTTGACAAATTCAGCAAAAAACATTCCATTATCTATCTTATCTTGGTGAGTCTAAAATGTACATAATTCACTTTCTATCCTAACTTATATTACTAACAGAAAACTATCTTTTGATATCTTTCAAACTTATATACTTTATACCTCTTTAATGAATTTCTTTCCTCAAAATGTTAACAAGGAAAACTGTAACTATCAAATCTTCAACTCATCTCAGAGACCCGAGAAGGAAATAGTATTAACTGAGTAAGGAAAAAATGTAAACAAGTGACTTCCAAAAAATTTGAGTTATGACAGAAACAGCTGACTGCCTGGACAGTCACCCAAGTTTCTTCTGCAACATTGGGGCATCATCTTCGGCCTACAGGCTTAGCATATCTGACAGACTTTTCTGTGAAACAGGATTTTCTAAAGAGCCTTCCTACCTTGTCTTGGCAAGGATCAGCAGTCCTTTGTTTTGTGTCCTACTTGTCCATTTTGAACAGCATACTGTCAGCAGTCAATGCAAGGGCACTTTCTTGCCCAGTAAACTTCATATGGAGTTTCTTCAATGCCTATCATCTGCTCTTAAGTAGATTGGTGCTGCCAGGAGCAGACATGTCTCATAGTCATAGAAAAAAAACTATATTATTAAAATATCTTAAATTCCATATTCTGTAGATTTCTGAAATACTTCAAGATGACCTATCTATTTAAAATATATTTCTGCTTGACCTTGAAAACATGCCTAATCTGACTACAAATGCAATTGTAATGACTAACTACTAACTTCCATTTCTTCATATCCTAATTAGTTAGTAATAATAACTTTTAAGGATTAGCAAACTGCATTACATTGTTAAATTAACTGAATAGGTACAATACCTTGAACAAGATTAGATTAGAAATATATGTACGGAGAAAGAGGAGGGTTTATATGAGCGAGAATTGTTGAAACCAAGGTTGGATAAAGTACAGGGACAAATAACCAAATGAATGGAAGCACATGAACTATGAACCAAAGGCTGAGGGACCCCCAACTGGATCAGGCCCTCTGAATGGGTGAGACAGTTGATTGGCTTGATCTGTTTGGGAGGCAGCTGTGCAGTGGTGCCGGGTCCTGG